GTTTAGAGACAAACTTGAGGTTTCATCAAGCAAAGGGATCATTGGATCTCAATTGCATTCTTCGTTGCCAAGGAAGGAGTCCAATTCTATTATCTGTAAAAGATGAAAAGAAAAAAATAAAATGTATGGCAACGTAGTTATCAACTACTGAAAACAAGTTCATTTATGTAAGAAAAAGTGATGTCAATCACCTTTTCTACCATCTTAAGGCCCCTTGTGTCTGACTGACAAGGTGATCCAAGTTCACAGGTGATAAGATGGGTCAAATATTCCTAATTGCCATTAAGGTTAATCACATCACATCTCCAGGACTATCCGTTATTTTTTATTGCATAACTATAGTTTTTCAATTAAAAAATAACAGATTAATGTTCGATTTGATGAAAAGATGAAAAGTTAGAAGGATAGAAGGTTAAAGAGATAGATAAAATATTATAGTTAGTGAGAATGAAAAAGTGAATAGATGAGATTTTCTTCCAACTCACAAAAATCAATCCATCTAAAATTAAAAAGAAAGTGAATGAAAAGTTAATTATCTATTTTGAAATATATCTTATTTATCTATATATCATTTAAAATATAAATATATTATTAGACATTAAATACAATGATAAAATATGCATTTAGATTTTTTTTTTAACAAAATTAAGAATAAGAATTTATAAAAATTAAAATTTTAAAAAAATACTTTTTCCATCTTACCAAGCATAAAAAAAAATACATTTTTCATCTATCCTACCAAACAAAAAGAAAAAAAAATGCATTATTTCTATTTTTCTTCTTTGGAGGATAAAAAATATATATCTCTTATTTTTTATCCCTCCTACTTTCTATCATTCCTACTAAATGAATCATAAGGGAAAACGAAATTGCATTTTTGTAGATTATAATTAGATTTTCGTTGTTTTTGAATCACATGTCTTCATTTTATTTCCCACAATAAAAATTTTAAAAAATCATTAAAAAATATTCATTTTCACTCACTCGACTTCCACAAATTACCCCGAATCCACCTTCCCCTGCCCCCATATTTCCCTTGGCACCCCTCCATGACTAGCAACGAAAACTATGTTTGCAGCATGAGCAGGTTAATCCGAGCCCAACTTGGACTTAGATTTTTGAGAAATTTGGAGGTCAATTCTACTATGTAGACTTATTCGGTTATAAATTCATCAAAAAAAAACTTATTTAATATTAAGTCTATTTTGATCTTCATTATTTAAAATACCCCTAATAGTTATATTTAATTAAAACAAATTTGAAAACTAACAATTTCTAAATTTTAGTAGATTGACTAACATTAAAATTCTCTCTCATAGTTATCTATTAATAATTGTCCATGTCTGAAGGCACTATGAATGAACAAAAAAATCGCAAGAAATTATCCGTACTCAAAAGTACTATAGGACACAAAAAATCTCTAATAAAAAACAATATACAACGGAGTCATGCTTGATTCAAATCTGATGTTAATTCAAATCTATCACTATACATGGGTTCATTGCAATTTTGATCTACAACCAAAAATAATAGAGAACAAAATAAACGCTACCTAAGATTTAAAACAAAAAAGACGAAAAATATTGAGTCAACAATTTAACTTTACAGGCCAAATTTCCCAACATAAACAACAAAAATTTAAGGCACATTAGCTAGCGATGGATCTGTGCCTGAATGCACTCGGTAACACAAAATAAACTTCCATATAAAAATAGATGACAAAATAATCTCGGATAAACTCTACGAAAAATGAAAAGATAAGAAAATCATGTTACATGGATCTATTTTTTCAAGAAAAATATCAATCAATTGATCCAAGACAGTCAAACTATAATGCTTCTATATATAATTGAATAGGTTACAATAGTAAATTTAGGAATGGAGACCATAATAGCTCACTTTTGTTTCCTTCTCAAAGGGCCTTGGTGACACAAAGCAGGGTTTTTCAAACACTTTCACAATTGATATCTTCATCCAAACCCTGCAATAGGATTATCATGGCATCTTCAATGGCCAAAATCTTTGATTCTTTTTTACAATCCAGCTCAAAAAGCCCTAGGACTCCATTCTCTTGCTCCACGTTGTAATGCCCCCATCTAAAGCACCCATTGACACCCAAAAAAAAAAAAGTTGCCACATACCAACCATGCAAATCACAAAAAAATATCACCACAATAAACCGATCAGGAAACTGCGAGTAATATCAATCAAGAAACTACAAATGCTAATCAAACTAACCTGAGTCAAGCTTAAACTAACATACTGCACACTTGACATTCAAATCCAATGGAAGTTTAAGATTTGAAATTTAGATGATGGAAAATGCATGTAAACATATCCAATGAACATGGATTCAGACCATGTAAAGTGCTTCTGCAATCTTGATCACTTTATATTCAAAATAAATTCCAAAGCCCAAAATCCATATTATGCCGAACAAAGCCTAAAAATTTTAAGTAGCCAAATCAATGACAACAAAAAATGTTCATCCCCAGTTACTCTACTATTTACAGCTTCAAAAGAAAATTTGGTGAAAAAATTTCTAGCTTTGCTCATAATAGTATGTGACAATGACTATTACACACATGAATAAATAGGATTGTTATGAACAACGTTTGAAACTCAGCAAATAATTCGACTATAACATCTATAAGTTCATGAGCCAGAGGAACATAATGTGACCTCTTGCGCAACCTACCTTTCCTATTTTTCTATTCTAGCTCTATGCTTAAGATCATTAATACTCACCACCCATGACTTCCACTCAAACTGCTTTCTTTGCAGCACTGTGTAACTCAACCCAGCTGAAAACAAAACACAAAAATGGTTACAAAATTGACCTCACAATGAGTGTCTAAATACGCCTCAAACAATTCGGTACCAACAATGTAGTGGTAATGCACATTTAAACCACTAAAAATTAAACCGCAGCCAAATCAAGACCAACAAAAGATAGACAACAAAGATATCCAACAAATGAACATTAGAGAAGAGTAGAGAGTGACATTGAGGCTCACCTCAACAGAGTAAATCAATGTGGATTGTCAAAATATATGGAGAGTGCTAAGTAACTCCAAATTGATATTACCATAAGATCTCATAACTTCAACTGCCAACAATTTGCGTGAACACAAATGAAAACCCACTACAGTGGGTAAGTGGTGATAACACACTCTCTCAATGCTCCCTCTACACCCAAATCAAAAAAATTTCAGATAAAAAAAAATAGGTGAATAGACAGAGAGGCTTCAAGGTTACCTTGCAATAGGAACCCAACGACAACCCATGATAAATGTACTGCAATGAGAAAAAAAAATAGTCAAACATGCAAGCAAACTCAATTACACAATAAAATTCAGAAAAAAATCATGACAAAACTCAAACATGTAATCTCTTAGGACAGAATACACAATTCAAACATGTTTAATCTGTAATTTTCTCTCAATCCCATGCCATTTAAATTTCCAAACAGCCAAGCCATATACATATATACAAATATGTTGCCTCCTATGGAAAAACATGTCTTAACACTGATGAAAATGTCAACAAATAAAAAAATTTCACAAACAAGTACTAGATCCACCAATTAGACAATGCATTCCAATTTCTCAAATAGATTCTGAATACATCAACAAATAAAAAAAAACAAGGAACTTTATCCATTCCTCCAAAAATTCCATGATAAAAAGATCATTCATTTGAACACACTTGGCAATCACAAATCCCTTCGCCTATCACAAAATAAAAATAAGAAATCTTATTTTCACAACCAATACCTCAAACATCAGAGTAAAACAAAACAATAATTCTATTATTGCACAATTAACAATAAAGAAGATTAAACCCAAAGCACAAGTAAATTTGGTGCTCATTTCATCCAATCAACGACTCTGGATTGGTTGGGCCATCAACATTTGTTCTAATAAGATTGTCCATAACTTCAGACTCAGAGATATACTATCTTTCTAGTTGATTGTGTTTTGGATTTCTGTATTACCGAGCACTGATTTGTGGCTATATTTCCGGTGCAACCTAATAGAGAATTTCTTGATATTGAAAATATGGTGCCTAGTATTGGGTTTTTTTTACTTCATGATTCAATTGATTTTTACGACATGAAAAGTGCTCGAAAGTAGCCTGTAACATAGCCAATGCTGAGGCTGGAGCATTTGGTCGAATATCTTGTGTGTGTGTGTGTGTGTGTGTATTGTCCGTTTTGTGTGTGTGTGTGTATTGTCCGTTTTGTGTGTGTGCTTGTGTGTTGTGTGTGTTGTACGATGTGAGCAGTTGAGAGAGAGAAGAGAGTCATGCATGGCAGCTAAGAGAGAGATGAGCAGATAGTTAGAGAGAGAAGCAGAGAGTTGTTCTTGGCAGCGGAGAGAGAAACAAGCAGCGACTGGAGAATCAGTGGCTTTGATATTGACGAAGAGAGGAGATTTGGGGGTGGACAGAGAGAGGCAGCGAGAGGGAGGGGCTTCTTCATCCTCTTCTTCTATTCCCGAGTGTCCTTTTGACAATTTCATTATATGTGATGATTTGCTGCAATGATTCACAAAATTCAAGAAACCCATAAAAATTGATGAAGAAATTACCTCAATGGAAATCATGAAATAGAGATCTGTTAATAAAAAATTTAAAGGCAAAGATGAGAAAAATTACAACTTTCTAGGTAAATGATGACTGAACAATTGGAGGTGTCGTGAGCCTTGGGATTGTAGGAGTAGATTTGGGTACTCCGATTACTACCTTGTCAACTATTCCAGTGATCTGTAATGGGAGACAAATGGAAAACATAAGTTTTACAATACTCACCATCTTTATGACATTAAAGTTTCGAAATACACAAATCGAACAATACTAAAATTACAACAACCAATTTCAATACAAAAAATCAATTACAACTGATAAAGTTGTTTGGTTAGTGATAGTCATGCTCAGGGGTGGTGGGGTGACTATGGCAGTGGCTCATTTTTCCAAAAAGTATGGATCTTTGATGAAGGATGAAAGGGGTTTGTGAAATGATTGAATTGAAACCTAACCATAGATTTGTTGGTCAATTACAATTAGAAATGGGGCTGGGCGGTGACGGCCATGCTCATGGGTGATGCGGTGGTTGTAGGTTGATTTACTAGTGGCAGTGGGTTGTTTTGTTGTGGGGTGGTGTGGGTTTGGTGAAGGGGATATGATTTTGGTGGTGATGGAGGGACAAGAGGAAGTAGATGGTGGCGGTGGGGTGGATGTGGGAGTGGGAGTGAGAGGTGGGACTATGGTGGTCGTTGTGGGGTATGGGGGTCTGACGGAGGATGAAGAGACCTGTGTGATTGGGGGTTTGACAGAACTGAGATTGAGATGGATTCCACGAGAGGGATTTTGGAATGGGATGAGTTTGGAGGGTAGGAGTTTTGGAGGAGAGAGAGAGAGGCGTGAATCAGGAAATTTGGGCTTGTTCGGTGGCGATAAAGGGATGAGGAAGAGAAATTTGGGGAAAGTTAAAAGTCCTAATAATTAAAAAAGAAGTGTTGTTGGGTGAAAAAATAAAATTTAGTATTCACTATAGATTATCGGATCAGTATTTATGAGATGATCTGAACCGTCTTTTATGTTAAAATTACATTGTTTGTTGAATGTGTTTACGTTTCGTCTCAAAACGATATAGACATCTCTTTGTATCTAAAATTAAAACTTAACTCTAATTTATTATATACATATTTATATATAAAACAAGATTATTTATTTCTCTCTCTCATATACATATATATACACATACATATAGTAACATTAAAAAAAATAATAACATTTAAGCACAAAAAATAGTGACATTCAAACACAATAATAGTATCATTTAAACACAAAAAAAAGTAGTAACATTTCAACACAAAATAATATTCAAAAACAAAAAAATAATAATAACGTTGGTATTAATATTTAGAAAAATAACAATAGTAACATATTCAACAAAATAATAACATAAACAGTAACATATCCAACAAAAATAGTAACATGCTCATAAAAATAATAACATGAACCGTAACATTGTAAAAAAATTTATATATATATAAAGGGAGGGAGAGGGAGAGAAAATATCAATTGTTCTTTGAATTTGAATTTCAAATTTATGTAAAAACAGTTATTAGCAAATCTTCATTGATAGTGAATTAAGGGATAATAATTTTCAAGTTATGAAACTAATTTAAAGTTGCTTTCAAGGAAGGATAGTTTGAAGTTCTAAAAAAAATAGTGGATTTAATTACTTATTAATAAGATTAAAAACAGACTTATTTCCAAATAAATTTATTTGACTGATTAAATTCATTATAAGTTCTTTAAGGAGGACTTAGTCCCAAATTTCATTAGATTTTATTACCTAGTTGGGGGTGAGGTTGAGTAAAAAAAAGTGAAAGTTAGGGCTAAGTCATCTTGAATGGACTAATAATGACTTGAATCCGTCAAGAAAATTTATTTGGTGATAAGTCGGTGTTTTATTTTACTAATAAGTACTTAAGTTTACTATTTTTTTAAATCTCAAAAATACCCTTAACAGTATTATTTTATTCAATTATAGAAACCTTAAAAACCTTGAAAGTAGTTTTAAATTAATTTCTTAAATAGAAATTATTATCCCTTAATTCACTCCTAAATTGAAATTCAAATTTATACACACACTCTCTCTCACTCTCTCTCTCTCTTAGATATCATTTCTTTCTTCATATCATTAAGATTAATAGGGTTTGGAATATCATCAACAACTACCATATCATCTACTGCGTTTTGGTCATTATGAACTTCTATGTCGTTAGTCTTCGAATAAAAGGGTTAAAAAACTTGTTCAATGTGTTATTAGTTTGATCTGCAAATTTATTTTTATTTTTTTGATAAATAATTCCCAAATTTTTCAATGTTTCTTGTTATTACATTTTTGTTGACCATGTTACTATTTTTTTCTAATTGACTATGCTACTATTTTTTTTTCATGTTATTATTTTTTATTGAACATGTTATTATTTTTTCAGTGTTACTTTTTTAGATGTTGAAGAATTGGAGGCTTCTTCCTCTGGTTATGAGTTTGAATGTTACTATTTTTATTTTCAATTTTGTTCAATATTCCATATTGCATTTTTTTTTGTTGAGCAATTTACTATTTTTGTTAAGTATGTTACTATTTTTGTTGAACATGTTACTATTATTATTTTTTATGTTTAAATGTTACTATTTTTTGTATTTAAATGATAACTTCTTCTTTTTTTTTTGTATTTGAATGTTACTATTTTTTATTTTTAATGTATGTATATATATATATAGTCCTAACCTATATATGAATATAGATAGATATAAGAGGAAAAACTTTTTAATTTTAATCAAACTTCTAAAATTTAAGAGTTTTTAATTTTTAATTTTAGTTCACTTCTAAAGGGAAGGGATAGCCTAGTAAAATTGACAAAAAATAAATTTCATAATAAATAAGTTTTCTTGACGGACTTAAGTCCATATAAGGGACCAGCTTTCAAATTTCCAAAAAACAAAAGAAAAAAAATCCAAGTTCTTTTAAATTTAGACATACCCATGGTTGGGTCTCAAATTCTTGTGACTCAACCCAAAATAAAATAAAATTGAATCCAACTTTTAACTCAAGTTACGTAAACCAAGAATCAAATTTAGGCTTAACCAAGGTTTTCGATCGAATTTTGTAATTAAAGAATCAAGCATGTCTTAACTCGAATGCAACTGAATTTCAACCCGAGTTATATAACTCTAGTTCAAAGGTTTAACTTTAAATATAGGCAATACTTGGGTTAAACAATTCCACTTTAATCCAGGTTTGGGTTGAAATTGGGATTGAACATTTTACAACTTAGGTTGAGTCTGTTTGACTTCTCAAGACGCCACTCACAAATACCTCCTATGAATAAACCCAAACTTCGTATAACATATAATGAAAATTAAAGTATTATTAATAAATTTTAACTTCTTTCAGAATGATCTCAATGTATAACCCGAAAAGGAGCGACTAATGTGATAATCAAATTTCGTTTACGATAGATAAAAAATAATACAACTTATGTTGGGTGGTGGTTGTGGACGACAATGGTGGGTGTGTGTAATAGTGGTGGTGAGTATTGGTGGTGGTGTTGGGCACCATGGTGGTGACAGTGAAGGTGGGTGGTAGTAGTGGTTTGTGGTGATGGTGACTACGGTGGGTGGTGGTGGCTGACAAGGAAGGCAGGGGGGGGGGGGGATGGCAGTAGGTAATGGTGTGACAATAGTGGGTGGGTGATGGTGGTTGTCAACAGGTAATGGAGGTGGGTGACAGTGGTGGGGTGGGCAGCAATGGTGGATAGCAGCGAGTAATGGTGGCAATGGTAGGTGGCGGCAAGAAATGGTGGCAGTGGTGGGTGGTTGGTGGTGTAAGGTGGTGAGTGGCGACAAGTAGGTGAGGGTGGCGAATGATGGTGGCAGTAGTGGGATGATGATAATAATAGTAATAAATATAATAATGAGATGATGGTGAAAGTTTTTCAATAATCTCTTTCATTAAGGGTAATTTTTGTCTGACACTATTTTTAAGGACTTTTGACCTTAAGTGTTCAAGTTGGAACTAAAACCTAAAAAATGTCCGAATGTGGACTTGTGGTCCCTTTTCCCTTTTTATTTTTTATACCTATTCAACTTTCAAATTATTTGGAACTATTAGTAGTATTTGACTTCTAAATTGTTCTGGACTCTTTTATTAGTAGTATTTAACTTCAAAATACTTTTGGATTCATTTTATTAGTATTATACTTACATACAATTTTTTACTATGTCTATATTTATATGAAGAAATAAAGTCCAATATAAATTATATCATTATATATGTAATTGTCCGATTGGATTCTTTGGTCAGATATATGACATATTTAATTTTTTGATATGCACCAATATCATAAATATTATAATACAAATAATAGTATTACAATTTAATCAATCTCTTTGATAAAAAGATATAATAAATTTATAAAAACTACCATCACTGTATGACCACCATTGCTCTTCATGTAGGCGCACGTGCACACACCCACACAGGTGTATTTTATAGGCACGTTTGGTAGACGTATTATGGACGGATTAAATATTGGATTATACTATTTTTTATTTAATTGAGTCTAATACTTTGTTTGGTAATAAAATTTAATACCGTATTGATTTCAAAATCGTATATTAATCGTATATTTATCGTTTATTTTTTGTATGATAAACCTGTATTATGAAGGTCTTTTAATAACACCACCAAGAGAGGTAATATTATAATCCAACCTAAACGTATTATTCTACACATTTAGTATTATAACCTCTCAAGTGATAAAATTAAGTTGTTATCAATATAATAAACATTGATTGAGAGTATTTTAGTCAATTTAACATTAATACGATGACATAATTTTCTAATCAAACAACCGATTTGATTAAATAACTTATATTTAACACTTATATTGTGTATTATCAAATACTAGATAAAATTACGTATTATTTTAATATCATATTTAATCTTGTCTTATATTTATCTGTATTGTATTAAATTGTATTATTTTATCTAATCCATCCATTTTTAATACAACAATCAAACAAGTACTATATGTTTTTATGTAGGTACATATATTAATACAGAGTATAAAGAGGATTGCACCACCACCACCACCACAGTGGCACCTACACACACCCACCATCCTTGTCCCACCACCATTACACATCATGCCACCATTGTGAAACCTTTTATCAATCCATCTACACCAACTGCCGCGGGCATAGTTGATGTTGAAATAGGCCTCTTTTCTGCTTTATAACTGCACATTTGAATTCGCATACAAGCATTTGTGGATTTGGTTTTGAAATTGTTGGGACCTATTGGTTAATATCAAAGACGATTGAACTATACATTTGAGTGTCTGTACATAATTGGCAATGAGCAAGATGGCGCCATGTTGGCTGTGTGATTCTTTAATTTTTTACGGCCCTCCCCTGATCAATTTAGTCCACCTAAAAATCTAGAGAGAGGTAGGGTGGTAAAGAGAGAAAATGACAACGGATCTTGTTTGCGGTAGTTCTTTATTTTATTTTGGTCCACGCCTAGACAAATTGAGTTTATCTAAAACTCCGGGGGGTAATTAGTTGAAATTGAAACCTCAAAGAGTACATTCAAATAGGCGCAAGTGTAGCTGGCTAAACCTATATTTTAATTCATTTAATTTTTTTTTTTGCACATCGTAGTCGTGTTCTCGGCAATTGCAATTCACAAATGCATTATATAGTTTCTCTCTAAAAGAAACTCCTGGTTTTAAAAAAAACGCTTGTAGAAGCTGAAGGAATGCAGGTGTGGAGAATTTGTGCCGAATTTATGGTGGCTTTTTCCCCACAAGTCAACTACGCACGACTCCTGACTGAGTTCTCAGCAAAGAGAACTATTCCTTAACTCATAAGCCTAAAGACAAGGGATGACTGCTGAAATCTAAGCAGCATAACATATAGGAAGAATCAAGGTGCAGCAACGATGGAAATACTACAGGGGGCATAAATTTTTTTTTGAACAAATACAGGGGCATAAATTGACATAATCTTATTTTGCATGGTTTTCTTGTACATCGATCTTTAGAAGATCTATTGCTGTGCAAAGCAACAGATATTTTGGAGCATTACAATGAAAAAAGCATGATCGGCTAAAACCAATGAAGAGATGCATATGGACTGCTTCCCTTTCGATTCTAAAACATTTTCCCAACACCATCCTCCCGTGGAATTGAGTCAAGGATTTCAAATTTACGCCAATTTCCCACAATCGAGGCCATCTGCTCAGCCTTGTCAAACAAACCAAGTAGTCCACCAGTGTGTATGAAGAGGATCTTTCTTCCTTCCCACTTTGATGGATTCTCAGTCATGTCTTTCATCATTTCATAGGCAGCTTTACCGCTATAAATAATGCCAAACCAAAATTATATCTCAGGAGTATATTCTTCAAGAACTAGATTTCATCACATATATATAAGTCCCTTACCGAACAAAACCCAGTTTTTTATAAACTTCTTTTAGTTAAAAACCAACATAATCTGCAATTAGAACCATCAACAGTAACAAAACTTCTTGATCTAGGAAAGACGCAACCAACAGCTGACTAACAAAAGACCAACTCAAGGATAGTGAAAAAGTATCAGTGGACATATCTAATTCTAATCTGTAAAAAAAACATAACTAGTGAGGTTGCTCACTCTATGTAGTCAAATAAAGAAACTGCATTAAAGAATGTGCTCAGTGTCTAGGCTGATTTTGCTCGACTCCATATACAGTGTCTATAACAACTGGGTCAGATTTGCAAATCCAGAATGTTTGTTTCAAACTTCTAACACTTTTTAAAGCATGTTTAGTAGGACCTACAGACGCAATACAACTTAATATGCAACTTCATTAATCATATTTGAGTAACGTTACGCAAACACATGCATTCCTCGAGATCATAGACTGAAGGGTTCATCAACTCAGAGGACGATCCCTGCAAGCACTATGTCCAAACTCCAGACGCTGAATTTAGTGTCTAAAACTTCACATTTGATCAGACCCCGGTAATTCAAAATGCCACATACTAGCATAATAAACATCATGTCTACAAGATCAAGCTAAACTTTGGATGGAATTAAAACTTACTTAAGCTCATTTTATCAAGTGACCTTTACAAGTGTTAACGTGTGTGTGTGTGTGTGTGAGAGAGAGAGAGATAGAGATAAGAAGTTACCCTACCTTCCCTTTCACCTCATATATATATATATACACACACACACACACACACTAAAGGTAACCCATGATTGAAAGTACAGTGTAATGTGAATGATTTTAAGAGGAATGTTGGTGGCCGTTAGATAAGTTAATTTAAGACCGTCGGATGAACTTATTGAAGCTTATCTTATATATATAGGGGTGTCAATTTTATCTGTTAACACGAACTCGACCCGACACAAAACTCGAAAATAACACGATAAGTTGACACGAATAATAAATTGGTCAAATTAAGGTTCGAGAATAACACGATTAATGGGTACTGTAGATAAAAAATAATTATTTAACGAGTATTGTAGATAAAAAATAAGAATAATTTTTTATATGAGTTGTTGTCAAATTAAATAATTGTTTATTAACACATATTGACACGAATCCAACAAGTACCGAAAGTGATATGACACGAAAATAATACGACACGAAAATGACACGACACTATTTAAATCATTACATAGGTGTCACTCAATATATTCTAACACTCCCCCTTAAGCTGAAGAATAAATATCATATAATTCCAACTTGGAACAAATATCTCTCAACTAAGAACTCTCAACGACTTAGTAAACAAATCAGCAAGTTTATTTTCAAACTTGACAAAGGGTGTGACAATGTCACCACACAACACTTTCTCTCGAATGAAATGACAATCAATTTCAATGTAATTCATTCCCTCATGAAACACAGGATTAGAAGTGATATGAATAGCATCTTGATTATCACAAAACAATTCAATTGGAGTCATGATTGAAATCCAATTTCCTTAAAGAAGTGTTGCAACCTTGTTAACTCACTACAAGTGTAAGACATTGTCCTGTACGCAGCCTCTGCACTAGACCGTATTACCATTGTCTGCTTCTTACTCTTCCATGTAACAAAATTACCTCCCAAAAAGGTACAATAGCCAATAGTAGATCGTCTATTTGAGGGAGAGCCTGTCCAATCAACATCTGTGAACCCTTCCAACCTAAGGTGCCCATAAAATCTATACAACAATCCAAGTCCAGGAGCTTGCTTGAGTTATCTGATAATATGAATAACATCCCAATGTGGTACTCGAGAAGTTTCCATAAATTGACTTACTATACTCATTGCATAAGATATATTTGGTCGAGTAATAGTAAGATAATTTAACTTCCCAACCAATCGACTATATCGTCCACGATCAAAGAAACATTCACATTTATCCTCTGAGAGTTTATGGTTTGTATCCATAGGAACATCAATTGATCAACCACTTACAAAACCTGTTTCTCCAAAAGGTCAAGTACATATTTTCTTTGGGACAAGCTAATGCCCTATTTTGATCTAGCAATTTCAATACCAAGGAAATAATCAAACTTACCTAGATCTATAGTGTGAAATTAGTGCTGCAAAAATTGTCAACTTGGCAATACCAACAGAGTCATCACCGGTAATCACAACACCGTCAACATAAACAAATACTTGCATTCGTATGTAAGTAAAATACTGAATGATCTGTCTGACATCTATATAGACCAAAATCCAATACCGTATCTAGTAACTCCCCAAACTATGCTCGTGGAGATTGTTTCAACCTATATAGTGCCTTCTGTAACTTACACACATTCCCTTTATACTCCCCCTGAGTAATAAACCCAAGTTGTTGCTCTATATAGACTTCTTCTACTAAATCGCCATATAAGAAAGCATTCTTCACATCTAATTAAAATAAGGACCAATCAAGATTAGTAGCAAGAGATATCAAAACCCGAACATAAGATATTTTAGCCACCAGAGAGAAAGTCTCAAGCATAGTCAACACCATACGTCTGAGCGTAGCTTTTAGAAACCAGATGAGCCTTTGGAGCGATCTAAAGAACCATTCGGATGAAATTTAATAGTGTAGACACCGTGATATCCAACAGCTTACCAAGAGGCAAGGAAACAATATCCCAAATGTGATTGTCATAGAGTGCGTGCATCTCTTCTTCCATAGCTTGCTGCCAACATGGATTAGGTAATGCAGCTAAGACCAGTGTTTTGGAAAGCGCGCCTAGGTGAAAAGCGAATGGATCTCTCCTTGAAGACCCCAAACGAAGCGAATATGAGTAAAGTGAGAAAAGTGAGCGCCTTTCGCTTAAGCGAATGGCGAAGAAGCGAACGCCTGAGGCATTAGAGGCGAAGTTTTATTTTTATTATAGACCATTGCATCGAGCAATTGGAAAAAAAATTATAAGATATTGATACACCAAATAATCCCCTTATCCCATAAATACAACCCCAAATCCTAATTTTACTCAGATTACTTCGCTGCTCCTACTCCACATACTCGATCACTGGACACAGACACAGAACCACAAACTCGATCACTGAAGTTGGACACAGAACACAGAGTCGATCACTGCTCCTACACGATCGACAGATAGTTGCTGATCGACAGAACACAGAACCATTGATCTTGCTGATCGTTGCTCCTTCTATACAGAGACTCGATTGCTGGAAGTTAGTCTCATCTTTTTCTTCTCTCTTCTATTTCTCTTTTTTTCTTCTCTCTTCTTTGTGTTGCTGTTTTGCTGCCCTACTATTTTCTGCTATTTTGCTACTGTTGTGCTGCTGTTTTGTTGTGCTGTTTTGCTATCCTGAAAAGTGATTAAGTACATGTATATAAGCTTACGAATGTACATAAAAATAGATTTATAAAAACAGTTGTGGTTGATTGATATACTTTAACAAAAACACATGTGGCTGATATACTTTAAAAATAGATTCAGTATATATTATTAGTGTTTGTTTTAATTTAAATATTTATGGTTTTACTTGCATTTAAATATTTAATATATATAAAATTAAAACTTATATGTTTAGAAGTAATTAAACTAAAATATTTTTTTTTAACTGTTCGCTTTGCTTCGGTAAACATGTCGTTTCGCTTCTCGCCTAGGTGTTAGGAGCCTTGGTTGTTTCGATTCGCTTTATACCTTAAATAACACTGGCTGAGACAATCTTATGAACAGACAAAATAGATACCTGGGAGATAAAACAAAAGAATAAGGGAGATAATGAATAGGAGGAAACAAAGTTACCAATAGGATAGTTAGTAACACAAGAACAAGTACTTTTGTGCAAAGCAATTGGTAAAGAGTTTGAGGGAACTGAAGTAGCAGGATCCGAAGACAATGAGGGCCTTGATTGACAAGAGTAAACCTATAAGGGCGTGGTGGAAGATACGAGAGGAGACATTGACACAAAAGATGACTCAGGAGATAAGGAAACTAGAACAAGAGCTGGCAGAGGAAGTAAAACAAAGGGAGACAACTCATGGACACGAGTAAGAGGAACTGGTGTTGTAGAGAAATAGAGGTAGACTCCTAGAAGGTGACATCAGCACAGGTAAAGTATTGGCGAAGAGAAGGACTATAGTAATGACAACCTTTTTGGGTGCGAGAATAACCAAGAAAGATGCACTTGGTAGCATATGGATCAAGTTTACTAAAATTTGGACTAAGATTGTGAACATAACACACACACCCAAACACTTTGGAAGGAATAGAAAACAATGGAGACTGAGGAAACAACACAGAGTGGGGAGAGGACCCATGTAAGACCGTAGAGGGCAAACGGTTAATAAGATAACGCACAAGCAAAATAGCTTCACCCCAGAAACAGTGAGGAACATGCGTATGAAACATGAGAGGACGAGTAACATCCAGTAAATGACGATTCTTTCACATAGCCGCTCCATTTTGCTGAGGTGTATGAACACAAGATGTCTGATTTATAATCCCTTTCTGTTGGAAGAAAACCTGAAAGGGATTACACAGATATTCTTTAGCATTGTCAGACCATAAAATAAGAATATTGCAATCAAATTGAGTCTTTATTTGCTTACAAAATAATTGAAAGCTGGAGAATAATTATGATCAAGATTTCATTTAAAACAACTAGGTCATACGAGAATTATCATCAACAAACGTAACAAAATAACGAGATTCATTAATAGATGAATCTCTAGGGGGACCCCATACATCAGAATGAACTATTTCAAAAAGATTAGAAACACAATTATCAAGTCTAGATTTAAAGGGCACACGATGGTGCTTACTAAGTTGACATGCTTCACAAAAAAAAGATGACAAACTACTTAGACTAAAAACTTGAGACTTCAAAAGAGAAAGGGATGGAAGTCAAAGACGACAATGCTACTGCAAAGGAGATAAAGAGGTTTGTAAGGCTTTGTGAGGGGCTCAAAGTCAAAGTAATAGAAACCACCAAATTCACCGTACCAATTTTTCTCTTCATCTTGAGATCGTGGAAGACACAAAAGGAGAGATAAAAAATTAATAAACAATTAAGGGAACAAATAATCTTACTTATAGATAACAAACTAAAGTAGAACAAAGGAACAAGTAAAGACAAAAGACAACAATAAAGAAGGACCAAGTTGCAAACTACCCAAACCTGAAATGTGTGATTAGAACCCATTGACAAGTGTAACATTGCGAGATGGGACTACAAAGTGGAAGTGAGATAATTGACTAGAAGAAATAGCCATATGATTTGAGGCTCTAGAATCAATGATCCACAGTGGAAGACAATAAACAAGCAGATGCTTTATCTAATTGAGCAAAAGTAGCAGTGGAGGAGGTCAGGGCTTGTTTTTGTGACATGAACTGAGCATACTCATCTTGTGAGATAGCAATAAGGTCATCAATAATGGACTAATTAGGGCCAGACCAGGTGGTTTACCATATAAATCCCAACAGTACTCCATTGTGTGGTTGCTACGACCACAATGAGTGCACTTACGAGTGTCTCGACCTCCTTTACCACCACGTCTGCCATAAGAACTACCAGATCCAACAATCAACATGAACAATGATATAGAATACCAAAACCAATCTTCAACCGGTCATCAACACCAAACGAACCAACAACATCAAGCTACTTGAACAACGACTGCCTCATCGAACATAAACTTGGAAGAGCCCAAGCCACCAACAGTAAGTTACGCCATAGTAGGTGTATTTTGCTATTTTTGGGTTGGCCACTATGGTCGTTTGATTATATTGTGCGGACATATTGGAAGGGAGTGTGACCCTTACCACTACTGTAGGAAGTACGGGAGGAAGTGGGTTGAGCCATTTAGGTGCTCATGCCCTCACAAATAACCTCTCTCTTCATATTAGTCCAGAAAGGTTTGAATAGGAACAATTATTTAGCATGGTCAAGGACTTGTTTGGTTGTACTAACTAGTACTTTGGATCGGTATTTGATTGGGAAGTGTAAGAAGCCTAATGAACCTGGTTCCCCATTAAAGCAGTGGACATGTGAAAATGCTATTGTTATGTCTTGGTTGCTTAATTCCATACAACCCTCTAATAGTCATCGTTTTCTATTGCTTGATTCGACTAATAAGATTTAGATTCTTGTGACTCACACATACTCTCAGAGGGGCAACGATACAATTGGAAGAAAGTTCGGAAGACTAACCAAAAGGATAAGACCCTTGCGGTCTACTATGTAGAGTTGACTAACTTTATGGAAGGAGTTTGACTACTATCAATGAGAAACACCTCGAGAAGGACCTCACACATCAGAATGAATAAGCATAAAGGAAAAATCAATTATTTTTTTAATGGAAGGATAACATGAACATTTATGTTTAGCAAACTCGCAAGCATCACAAAAAAACTGCTCCTATGACATGATTTAGCTAACACAAGAAAAAGTTCCTCCAAGATAACATGAACGTTTATGTTTTCCAAACTTGCAAGCATCACAAAAAAACTGATCCTATGGCATGATTTAGCTAACACAAGAAAAATTTTCTCCAGAACACCAAAGGAAGGATATCCTAAACAGCGATGCCACTAAAGTAAGAGCAGAAAAGGAGATGCAGTATCCACTTGTAAAGCCTAACCCAGTGGCTATGTAGATAAAGAGACATCATCCATTAAATACAAACCACCATTTGCTCTACCACTGCCAATCATTTTCTCCGTCTCCAGTTCATGAAACACAATGAATAGGAAAAAAAGTTATAGAACAGTTTAAGTATTTAGTAAGACTACTAACATAGAGTAAATTAGTAGAGAAGTTTGGAACATGAAGAATAGATGAAAGGAAAATGAAATGAGAGCACTGTACAAATTTTTTTCTAGAAACAGAGGATAAAGAGTCATTAGCAACTCTCACTTTATCCTCAGTACAAGGAGAATACGATTAAAAAATGTTAGATCAATTTGCCATATGGTCAGTAATTCTAGAATCAATTATCCAAGGAGAAAAAGAGACACCGAGAGCATATGCATTGCAGTATCGCACTAGCTCCAACTAACAGCTATCAGTGCTCGCCGCCTTGTAGTTATTGTAGATGAAGTGTCAAGTGTAGCCATTAGACGTCTGAGAGTGCATCTCATCCTAGGAGAGAGCACTAGTATCAATAAAGGAGTTCTAGGAAATCTCATAAATATAAGCTTTGAGACGACATAGTCCCACTATAGCCAACTTCAAGCAACTTCTAATAGTGCTCTCTAGTATGATGTTCTTTCCACAATAATCACATTTCAACAAATCAAACATTACTCTTCCCACTAGTCTTGGGCTAACTGACATTACTATCCCGTAAAGTAGGAGTAACAAGCAAAATAGAGCGATTGAGTGTTTACCATAGCACTAGGTCAATTTATCTCTTGTTGAACACATGCATCGACCTCTTTCAAGGTGGGAAAAGGAGATTAGCTTCAAACTTGAACTCGAATCTGATCATACTCTATGTCAAGTCCACCAAGAAAATCATATATCGCCCTTTCTACATCATTTGCTAGAAGACAATTGCATCCTTAGTAAAAATAATCTGAAAGGTCTGATAATAGTCAAGTTCCTGTCACAAACCACTCAATTCAGCATACTACTCAGCAAAAGATATGTCTTTTTGAATTAATCCACGAATCTTCTCCCTTAGTTCATAGACTTGTGTGTCATTACCCTTCTATGAATATGTATGTGCAACTGTAGACCAAATCTTTTGTGTTGTCCCATTAACAAGAAGGTGCGACTAATAGACGGTTGCATTAAGTTAATCAACCAAGTCATAACAAGGACAATTTTCAATTGTCATTTCTTCTGTGTTAGTCCATCTGTCATAGGATCCTTAAGAGTTCCAATGATATAACTAATTAGGTGATGTGCAGTAATAGCCAAACTACTGGATCATGACTAGATCAAATAGCTAGTGCCATCCAACTTAACTAGACTAATCTGAAGGAATGAGCTATCTCCAAGAATCCCAAAACGACTCAATTCATTCACCTCGCTACCACTGAAAGTCTTACTATTGGCTGACAAATCCATCGAACAAGGATAGCACCCTAAATATCAAAGAACTAGTTCAATCACCTACAAACCCACAAAGCCCAAAAAATCCTTGCAAAGAATAAGTTAACTACACAATAAAAACTAAAAAAGGGGACCAAATCAGATCAGAAACAACGATAAATGAGTATAAAAGTTGTTTCAACCAAAAAAAAATGTAGATTTGGCCAAAGAACCATCAAAATGGATAAAACAACAATTGGGTAAGGGCAAGAAGGTAATTTTGGACCCCAAGGAGCTATTCCAACCATCAGATTGCATCAAACAACCCAAAATAAGCGATTTCAGAAAAATAGACAAATAATTATGAGAAATAGAAAAAAATGAAAAAAATACATCAAAACTCCAAAAAAATTGACAATTTTTTTTAGGAGTATGAGAACCCTAGTCGATCATGTTGAGTTTTTTTTTTGAATTTTTTTGTTAAGATTTAACTGAAAATGAGGAAAAACTGCGGGAGGAAGAAACAAGATTTACATTACTGAAAAACAAAAAAATAAAATTAATATCAACTTACCATGTTAAGATATGAAAAGAAAAAGGAGAAGAGAGACTTTGTGAGAATGTGGTGGCAGTTGAGAGAGAGTCCCAAGCATCAAATTAGGGTTATTTCCCTTAGCCCCATTATTTATATTAGTAAGACTGAAAGTACATAAATACCCCTCATGACATATAAGACATCAGCAAACCGAAACAAACTTGGAAGAGCCACTACATTGTCAAGCAATTGTTAGCCTCAGCCAAAGGCTATTTCAATCTTTGATTAAGCCATGCACATCTTTAGAAATACTCATTGAGAAGTTAGCACAATATGCAAATGGTCCATAACATTATTCTTTTGTTGTTCTATTGTCTCCATAATTCTCAAGACAATAATTTAGTGTAGCTTAACCGTTAAACAAATAGTCTATTTACAAGCAATTTGTGAATTTTTTCGTGGATATTAAAACTAAAGGTTAAGTTGTGAAGTCATTAGGGTTTTGTGAGAGAGAAAAGAATAGGAGAAAGAGAGAAGATTATCAGAATAAGGAAGTGTATTTGGTTATACAACTACACCCAGTTTTTATATAGGGCGAATTTCATTTTAGAAAATTTTCTTTATTCCTCCGTTCATACGTATTTCATACATTCAATTCTATATATGGAGTAGGGTAAAATTTCATGTGATTAAGTAAACAGAATATAAATTTCATCATTGCTAAATCATCTATATGATTCAATGAAGAAGGAGCCCATAATGGAATTTTTCGATAAATGGGAAATAAAAAATGCACCGGGATGAAAATGAGGGAATGTCTATAATACATGGGTTTAATCAGATACACACCCAGAAAGATTTAAAAAATTTCACTTTATACCCTCAAAGAGTAAATTTCTCACATTACATCCTCAACGTATTAAAAGAGCTGTAATGTAGCCCTTCCGTTAGTTTTCATTACTCATTCCATCAACATTAATGGGGTGATTTTTGACGAAATAAGCAACGAAAGGACCATATTCCAATATTTTTAATACATGAAGAGAGCAATGTAGAAAATTTAATTATTGAGAGTTCAAAGTGAAAAATATTAAATCTTTTAGGGTGCAAAGTGAGATTATCTCTTTTATATATAGACACAAAATACTAAACTACCCTTATTCTAAAAATAACACATAACACAACACCCCCTCATGTTGGTGTATAGATATCCTTCATGCCTAACTTACAATCAATGGTGTGAAAAGCCTTGCTACAAAATCCCTTCATGAAAATATCAACTAACTAATTTTCTAACTTAAACAAAGGCATGCAAATCAAGTCCTTGTCCCTTGTTTAACTTATGTAATGAAGTATTGGTAAATTTCAACATGCTTAGTTCTGTCATGTTGAACAGGGTTATAAGCAATGTTGAATCGTTGATAGCAACCTTGTTGTCACAAATATAGTATCATAGGTCCATCATCATAAATTCTCAACTCTCCCAGAAATGTTTGGAGTCACATAAGCACACAACCTCCATGGGTCATTGCTTTGTATTCAACCTATGCACTAAACCTAGTCACTATTGCTTGTTTCGTGCTTAACCATATAACAAAATTTCCTCCAATCAAGGTACAATAGCCTGAAATGGATCGTCTATCATCCACTGAACCTGCCTAGTCTGCATTATTAAATATTTCTAGTTTCAAGTGACCAATATTAGAAAATAGGATCTCTTTTCCTAGAGCTGACTTAAGATATCTCAATATGCAATACACCGCTTTAAGATGAGGTGTTCGAGGATCATGTATAAATTGACTAACAAC